AGCTAACTGCAAGGTCATCAGTTCAAATCCATCAGCTGCTCTTCGGAAACCCTGTGGCAGAGTTGCTGTGAGTTGGAAAAAACTCAATGGCACTAAACAACAACAATGGCAGGATACGTGCCAGACTGCTAGTGGCAGCATCAGCAGTTCGATCAGCCACTTCATTGAAGAAAGATGAGTCTGTCTGCTTCAGTAAAAATATACAGACTCAGAAACTCTAAATTGGGTTGCTAAGAATTGGAATCAACTTGATGGCAGTGGGTTTTGTGGGTTTTTAGTTTGAAATGATCCCCAGAGACTCTAGAACCTCATTCAGAATTTTTTTCAAAGTGGTAATATCTCATCTTTTAGAAAGTATTTGGTTAGTGGAGTTAGAGCTGAGTGAGCAACGTAATTGCTGTTGCTGAAAATATGATTTTTAGTTTTAAATTAGGTACGATATATGTGTATATGTGTGTGGTGTGTTGGACTTACTAAAGGCTCTGCAGACAGTTTCAAAAGAAGCATTTCAGAAGTGTTTTGCTGAATGGTTGCATCTTTGACATTATGTAGTAGTCTCCCAAAAGAATCATTTTGAAGAGCCCTCATTTGGTTGTGTAGATGGATGTCTCAATAGTTTCCCATTTGGTTACTGTTCCAGTTCCATCATTGTCCTTCCTTAAGTCTTTGAACAAAGATTCTAGACTAATCTTCTGTTTGTCACTTAAACTTTTAGTAGCTTAAATTTTAGAATAAATTTCAAACAAATTAACTTAACATTTAAAGCCACTCATTATTGGTCTCTGGCCTACATTTCTAAACTTACACATACTTATTCTCTCCATGTAACTTGCATATCAAGCAAATGGAACTAATTGTTAATCCACATTAAATGGTAGTACGAGGGTGAGTCAAAAGTCATCCACATTCCAGTTGTATTAAAATGCCCATCCACATCCATGACTGATGACTACATTGAATGTGCATGTGAAATGATTCTGTTGAATAGATGAGTGAAGATGGGTTATGTAGCAGATCATTTGCAAATCAGCCTATGAAAAAATCCACAACCAATTTGGGTTTTGAAAATTTTTTTGCCAGATGGGTACCGACACAACTCACAGAAGAGAATAAACAGAAACATTTGGATAGCTGCAAATATAATTTAGAATGATACTTGAAGGAAGGTAAAAGTTTCTTTAAAACAATCATTACTGGTGATGAAACATGGATTCATCCGTACAAACTTGAGAGTAAATGGGAGAGTATGGAATGGAAAGATCCTCATTCACCCACCAGGAAGAAGTTCAAAAGTCAACCATCAGCTGGAAAACTGATGCTTAAAGTTTTCTGGGACTTCCGAGGGCCAGTATTGGAACACTATCAGGAAAAGTGTTCAACAATCAACAGTGTTCACTGTGAGATGTTCACTGAAGAGCTGAAACCTAAACTTCAGATTAAACACAGAGGACTGCTATTCAAGGACATTGTGATCTTGTGTGATAGTGCATGTCCATACACCTCTGCCCACCATGTTAACTGCAAAAACTTCCTCTGTCTAGTCCTGATCTTACTCCATTGAACTTTCACCTGTTTGGTCCCCTGGAAGCAGCCCTTTGAGGACGAGGATTCACCTCTAAAGAAGTGAAGACTGCAGTGCATTCATGGCTCAGCCTAAAACTTTATTTTAAAATAAGGGAATATGAAAGCTTATTGACAGATGGACAAACTGTATTGAAAATCAAGGAGATTATATTGAAAGATGATGCATTTGTCTTTTCTAAAAGTTTATTAAAATAAATTCTACAGCTGGTTACGGATAATTTTTTTACTCACATTCATATTTTCCCACAGTATGATATAGTTCTCCAGTCAGTATACTCACATATAAGCCCCGTTACCCTTCGAAGTCCTACTTAAATATTAACCAGCTTCAATTCTCTCCCTTCTAATATTATTACATCCATAAATTTTATGATCCTTATAATTTGTATCTTGTTTTATGATTTTTGTATACAGTTATTAAATGTTCTGTTTGACTAAGTTGTATGAACCCAGTATATAAATAATCTGGTTAGCAGTCTATAAATATTCTGGGACCTTGAACTCCTCCATGATGCTCAGCACAGCGCTTTGCATATAGCAGTGTCTGCATAAATTGTTTCTGGGATTATGAAAACAGGAACACATGTTAACAGATAACATCAAATGGTTTGACCATTTAAGACTATGGTTACTATGATATTGCCTCCCATATTTCTTTTAGGGCTTTTGGGATTTGGATATTTTTATTCATATAAAAATCTAGTACTTGTGTAAGATACAGTAATTTTATATTATAGAGAAAATTACCATAGAACCATGAGCAATTGGGATACTTTGAGAGGAGGATATCCTGAATAATTTAATCTTCTGTTTCACTCAGGGTTAAGGGGAGAATCCTTTTGTTTCATTTCTTTTTGAAAAAATTTTTTTTAAATATGCTCATTTCTGATCTTAGCTAAAGACAGCATCATTAAAATTTTATTTGATAACTGATGATATTGGAATACCTCTGGGTAATTATTGCATACCATAATTCTCATTTCACATTTATTTTATGTACATATATATCTATATCTGCAT